AATTGCCTTTTCTTGAAGGATTTTTTTTACTAGTTCTACTTATGAGGTATTTGTGTCTACATAGCTGTGATTACAGTTGTGAGACATATATATAAACACACGCAAACACACACACACATATATATAGTGAAATATAATTGTTTGTATCATATTTGAGGCAATTAGAAAAATCCTCCAATACTGAGTGATTCTTTCTTAATGAATCGGAATCATGATTAAAAATCTAAGCCAACGTCAAGATGCTCTTCCTTGCCTATCATTCCTATAGTTACTATTTAATAAGTTTTCAGTCTTGCTATGCCATAACTGGTTTATGTGAATGGCCTCAAACATTTTGTTTTACTCTTATATCTTCATAAATTAAGAAAAATACAGAATATGTCAGCGAATACTGAAAAGAAAGCTTGTTCTTTGTAACTTTAAAGGCAAATGAAAAAAATTGAAGACCATATTTCAGCAATACATATCCATTCCAGACTTACAAAATCTTGCCAGAAAACATGGATCATGTCTTTATGCCAATTCAAAAGAACATCCTCTTTCCACAACTTTCAGAAGCAGTTGAGTAATTTATTCACATGGAAAACTGAATATAAAGCTTGTGTTAAAAATTATTAATTAAAAATTGTATTCTGGAAATAAATCCTTCAGAAACCACAACTGTGCTTGGCAACCATAGAAATGAATAAGGAACACAAACTTTTTAGGAATATCAGTGCTGTGAAAGTCTGAAGATGTCAGAGTGAGCATTCATAAGACATTTGTTCCTTTACATCAAGAAGAGAACATGATGAGCATTTCTTTTAACACCTTCCCACATGGGTATTTGAGCATTCAGGCATTTAAAACAGATGGAATGGGGGAGAGACAAAAGTCTTCAAGTGACCAAAATAGCAATATTTCTAAAGAGTTTTGAGATGTTTGAACAATCACTCTCCAGGCCTGACACTGTGGGCTTCAAATGATAGCCAGCACTAACGCTTGGCAAACAATTAGTTACATTGTGGAGTAGGAAAAGCATATTGGGGAAAAATATGTTTTGGGCTAGATACTGCTCTGTTCACAGAGGAGCCAGGATGCTCTAAGGGGAAGAAAAATCTTGCCAGAGGGAATTTTCACGTTAGTATTAAAATATATATAAAAAACTCTTCTGTAGGGGGCAGACAGCATACTTAAAAGTTGCTTTTAATTGAAAAAATATATATATTAAACTATTTACCATGGAAGTGAATTCTTTGATTCATTGGTAATAATGGTCTAGTAGCAAAGAACAGATGTTGACTGCGTTGTTCTTCATATCTGTTTCACAATACTTAAATATTGTTTAACCTCTTTTTATAGAAGCAAATAAAAAGAACATTTAATGTGAAAACAACGAATTTATAAACATGATGAGGTAATTGTAAAAAACTTTATTTGTTCTCTTTAATTGTTATTCCAAGTACTTGAAGATGTCATATGACTATTTGCAGAAAGGAAAATGTAGCATAAGTAAATACACAGGAGTGAAAATTGTTGGAAAGCAGATGCTCTCCCTGCCTCTTGTACTGCGATCACTAGATATACTACATAACGTGGTGCTATAGAAGGGCAATATCCTCATGTATTCAGTGCTGGGTAAACAAATGCTAAAGTTCATCACTTGAACACTCAAGCTCACTAATGCTGAATGCAGAAGAAAGGCCTTGAAAAGAATTGGCCAAGGACAGTATCCAGCACTATATCATGGCTTAGTCAGAAAGAAATATTGAATAAAATCAGAAAACTGGTTTTTAGATGGAAGCCACAATATACCAGTCATTCACCCTGTGCACAAAAAGTAGCATCAGCCTAGATGGTCTACCATATGGTCAACCAACATATGAACAACAAAATAACTTTGTCCATTACTCTCAGACAGTCAGAAACAGAAGCTGCAATAGGCTCACTGCTGCCAAGCCTCATTAGAGTGAAAGTAAGTTTTTACAAGTCAGGGCGATGCAGCTGCTGTCTGATGGCTTTGCAAACTGCATGCATTTGAACTGTCGGTCTCCAGCTCTTGTAAAAATCTTTGCTCTCAGCAATGCCAGATACTCATGCCATTTTGAGAGATAGAGAATATCCAGGTATATTTTTGTTGAACCAGCCTCGGAAAAAAATTCCCATTTTCAGATGGAAATACCCATTTCCATGCTTTGAGCTTCCTCTTTGATCTTTAAGGAACTTTCCTCTTACGATCTTTAAGAACATAAGCAGACTCTTAAGGGAATTCTGCTGAATTCACAATGAGAAACACTTTTTCCCAGCTCACAAAAGTGTTTTTTCTTAAAGGCAAGACACGCCAGCATCCTCAGATAACTGCAAAGCAGATGCCAAAATAGGTGTGGAAATGAGGTTTCTGCACAAATAATAATGAACTATTAGACTTGTGGAAAAATATACATCAGGTACACAAAAAACAACTTAAATATATTATCTCCATGAAGCTCATACAGAAAGGGTAAACATATGTATATTTTACTTCTGAACATTAAATATTCACAGAATGTTTATTAAGACAAATACATAGTCTATCCAGATGAAAGACTTGGGAAGACTTGTGAATTTTTAAACTTAAAAAATAAAAACATAATCCTAATAAGACTTAATGGCATAGTTAAATATTAACAATATGTCTGTGAACATCTCTTTAATATCTAGAGAACTAAATACTTTTATTTTTTAATCTATAAAACAACTCAGCTACCAAAATTTGGTTGTGCATCAATTGACTTAATCAAAATGGACTTTTAATACTCCAGTACAGTTTCTGTCTTCTTAATACATAAATAATACATATTTCTTCAAACTGGCTAGATAAGTCAGACAAGCTTATGGGAATACATGTTGTACCACATTTTGGTTCTATTAAGGACCGTAGCACTAACAGAGGCTTGAAATGCTCCGCTTTCTCTTTTCATAGTTCATATTAAGTTATTTGAGATCCATGCCCAATACACTCATATTTGCAAATGAAGTTGGAAAAAATATTTCATATTTCCTGCTGTTATATAACTATATGAGAGATCCTACATGACGAATTGTCACTACTTTGTTCCAGATTGTTGCACAGGCAAGAAATAATCAGTAGGGGAAAGATTACTTACCAGAGTAAACTAATGGCTTTGTTTGCTTTTTCATGGCTAGAGCAAGAATAGAATTCGTGATCATTCTTTAAAATATTCCCTAATCCTTAAATTTGTCTCCACTACAATGAGATCTTAGAAGAGTTGTGATCAGCAGTCACTTCAGGTTCATTATAAAAAGTATGCATCAACAGATGAGACTCTAGATAGACATGCAAGAACAGCACTATGCTTTGTATATCTCTACCCAGGCTTTCAGAAAATGACTCTAAAATGTTTAAATAAAACCATCAGCTCTATCTAATTTTGATCTCTGTTCTTAAAATTTGGCTGAAAAGAGACCAATTAAGAGTGTCTGGAAGTGCCTGAAATGCTAGGCAGAAGTCTCTATCCCACACAAGGATGGCTACCACACTGATGCTTCTGAAGTCTATTGAAAACAGGACAGATGGCCAATGATTCTCTCTGAAAAAAATCTTCTTGAGGGTGTATGCAAAGAACTTGGTCTTCACTTATCATTGTAAGGGGGAAATGAGCATGGATTGTACAATAAAACCACCAGAAGGACTTAGTCCACCACACTACATATTCCCCCTGGCATTTCTTTTTATTTGAAATATGCAAGGAGCATTAAACTAGCCACATTCTTTATCATCCCTGATTTTACTGATGGCCAAAGTGCTAAGCTCAACGGCTTGACATATCCACCAAAACAACCCAAGTAATCAATTCAGCAATATCTGAATATGGTTTCAATTTTATTTCCACAGTGTGTAAGGCTCTGTAAAAAGAAAAAAGAACCACAATGATGGAGTATGTATCCCTGCTTCCTCCTAACAGTAATGACACTCTATTAAGAAAATTAAATTAGTGCCCACCTTTAAGGTACCAATCCCAGGCTTGATTTTTTACTTGATTAGCTTTAAATCCCACAGGTTTGAATTGAATCTTGAAATTCTGCAAAAATAAACTGATGCTAGATTACTGTATTAAACACAGATGCCACTGATCTGCACAGGGATCTTGAAATCATGTTTTTCATTTCTTGTTCAAAAAATAGTGTGATCTCTGAACAGCTGCTTTGTTGGCTCCCACAGGTAGCTACACTTCAGTAGTGAGACAAGTAATTCCTATATATAGTGCCCATATGTTCCTCTTCTTTCAAAAGCTTATTGGAAATTATGCAAACAAACAAACAAAAATTCTTCCAACTGCAATGCACAGGTTCGCCTCTCTGTGTAGCTGCTAGAAGACCACTGCGAAGACCACAAAGTAGAACCCCATAGTGAAATGAAGGTGATAACGGGGGTCAAAAAGCCTTAAATTTATTGATGATCTTTAGAGTGTCAGCTATGCCCAAAAAAGTCTAGCAGACGAGCGAGTATCCTGCAATGCTGGACTTATCACATGGGAGTTATGATTTTCAATGTTTTCAGATAAGTATTGAAAAAGAACTGATGGATTAAAATAATTCTTTTTTTAGCCCCCATTTACATTCACTTAAAAAAAAAAAGAAAAAAAACACCTTCAGGACTAAGAACAAGCATTTGAAGAAATGGGGTCAGAAATCCTACTGTGCTAAATTAAAGATTACCCAATCAATTTTTCACCAGCATGTTGTCACAAAAAATTGGTGGTAGTTTCAAGGTAGTTTCTTTCGCAGGTCCCAAATTTCACTAGCAGATGAGTTTGTCCATTTTAGAAGAGGAGATTTCTGTCAAGTTTCAGTTTCTCCAGTGATTGGATTTTGTTTTCTGGATCATTTTTTACAATTTCTCTAAAAATCTGATTCTTGTGTTAATGGCCTATCAGAATAATACAAAAAAATGCAAGGTACACATAAAACCTGTTCAATTTATTATGTGGGCAAAGAGCTTTGATGTGCCTGATAGTAGAGTTCAAACCTCTCTTAACTTCTAAGTGATATATTGGGAGTTTTAATCGTAGTGGCCATATGTCAAATCTCAAAACCAGATCACACTTTGGCATGAACGGCACCCTCTGCTTAGAAAAGCTCTAAGATTGACATATTGGAATGGGCTTGGGAGATGCTCATGGGGAAAAGCTTACTCATCTTTTATCACTGGTGGAAATAATCACACTTCAGATACTGCATATGGAAAAACAGCATTTTCAAATAAAGGCTTTTATGGGCAACTATGAAATCAGCTTCTTAGAGCCAGTGATCTATGTATAAGGATTTTTTTTTGTTGTTGTTGTTACACTAAGCCAGTACTCTAAAGAGTAGAGACAGCATCCGCCTAGTAACTTCTGGTCCCTAGCTATGATAACACGGTACTGGCAGGGAAGAAGAATCAGAAGACATAGTGTACAAGCTTCAATGTAATTGCCAGTTTAATAAAACAAGTTACTTTCTATTAAATATTTTGTCTATCCTTAGAGCTTTCTTATTGCAGTAGTGTGCACAGCACAGAGCTACTCAAATGCCAAATGCACATATGTGAGCATCTTTACTCACTTTTCCAAAGTTGATTATAAAAACAGACCCCAAAAGGTGTAACATCAGCTCCTAACTGAGTAAGAGCCATAAAAATGTATTAGTGGTTCTTACTTTAAGGAGGGTGTGCTAATATTGAATAAAACAAACCTGTGCCTATAGAGTGCATTTTCATCTTTATGCATCACGGTGTTTGCTGTTCATACACAGTTCATGTTCACACACACATTCACTATTCATACACTGTTCATGCACAGTCCAAATGCTCATGTTCATGTACTGCTCTTCAGTTCTGTTTAATCATGCTGAAATCTCCCAATGGAAGTCCATGCTATTCTGTTTCCAGATCATACACCATTTTAGACCAAATCCCATGTTTTCTTTTCATAGAGTCTATATTGCGGTGCATTCTAAACTCCAAAGTTTCCACAGAGGTCTTCTACAGATTCAAAAGCTAAGTATTGCCAACTAGCTACCACATCTTCATTTGAATTCGAAGCAGTTATTTGCTAAGGTTGTAACAAGACAAATTTTGTTTCTTCATTGTTCTCTCAACACTGTCTTATGTCCCTCATATACCTCGTACTAAACCCCTTCCTCTTCTAACAGCTCTTTGCTGTTGAAGTACTCTACTCTCTTCCTCTAGTTCTTATTCATTAGCACATAATGTGTTTCCAAAGCTAGTAGATAATTTAAATCATAATGGAAACATCTAATATCCACAATTGCTATCTTAAATACTGTTTTGTGATGACTGTAAACTCAATACTTACAATCATATTACAAAAAAATAAGAAAAAAAGCATCCCAGCAGCTGGGGAAAGAAAAAACACCTTGTTTTTCTGTCTTTCTTCTTTTTCCCCCATGTGTGTTCTAACAACTTTACAAAGAATGGAGAAGCCATTTTGAGTAAAATATTATGAAGTACTATGGTCAGATTACTAAATTAGTAATCTGATACAGAGCTACATGATTAGGGAGATTAAATAATTGGTCCTTTTCACTGCATAAAAACTTGCTATTTGTCCTAATTTCCTTCATTAAATGATTAAAAGAACAGATGTGTTTTAATTCTAGACCTTTTATCGGGGGAGTTTTAAAGTAGAAAATGCACTAGGATCAAAATCAGGGGTTGGGATTTGTAATCATAGAATAATAGAATGGTTAGGGTTGGAAGGGACCTCCAGAGATCATCTAGTCCAACCCCTCTGCACATGCAGGGTCACCTAGAGCACGTGGCACAGGACTGCGTCCAAGCGGGTTTGAAGATCTCCAGAGAAGGAGACTCCACAACCTCTCTGGGCAGCCTGTTCCAGGGCTCTGTCACCCTCACTGTTAAAAAATTTTTCCTTAAGTTCCTGTGGAACTTTTGGTGCTTCAGTTTGTGGCCATTTCCTCTAGTTCTGTCAGTGGCCACCAGTGAAAAGAGGCCAGAACCATCTTCCTCACTGCCTCCCATGAGGTACTTCTAGACACTGCTCAGGTCCCCTCTCAGCCTTCTCTTCTCCAGGCTGAACAGGCCCAGCTCCCTCAGCCTCTCCTCATAGGGCAGATGACGCTCTTCTTAACACAGATTAATATAGTTGATTGTAGTTCTTTTTTCCCCGCTCTTTTTAATTTAAACACAAATTATGAGGTAAGTGTTTAGAAAGGTAATTGATCTGTAGTCTTGAGATAAAACATCTTTCCTTCTGATACTGATTGTGCATCAAAGTCCATGTAGACTAAGATTTCAAGTTGACTTTAAGCGACATCATGATTTGAGTATCCTGGGCATCTGGAAAGCTTGAAGTTAATAAAGAGTAGTATCACACAATTTCCACACATTTTTTTTTCCTATGCAGCAGAGCTTGAGATTTAGAGAATTAAAACATTTTGATTCAGTAATGACATTGAGTATTTCCTTCTTTTATTATGCTTGAGTCCTGTAGTAAACACAGGGTTTCACATTGTTTTGCAGCTTTTCATTCATTTGCTTTTTATTTTTATCCTTTCCTTTTGCCAAGTTCCTTTTGAATGAACTCTGATGCAGCATTATTCTCTTTCCTTACGCTCCCAGGAAAGTGTCCAGCCCATGCAGAGCTCTCAGGAATTCTGCTCTGCCAGCTGCTCAGCTGCTTCACTGCTGCACTTGCAGATGTAATTTCCCACCGCTTCCCTCCTGGCCTTGGCTGCGTGCAAGGAGATGGCTACGAGTTATTTCGTGGAACAGGACGCAGTGACTGGCCTGAGGAAGCTGTGTGGATAATGATCATCTCTGATACCTCTTCATCATTCCTGGAGAGCACAGCTATCAATCCATGCCTAATCTAGACAATGTGTTTCTAACGTAAACTCCCCATACAGCAGGAAACGACAACTGAGAAAGCTGATTTATCTATGCTGTGCTGCTGGCTCCTATTTCATGACAGAATAGCTAATACATTGACAGACAGACAGCTTGAGCTGAGCTCTTACTTGATGTCATTATGTGCCAGTTGATGCAAGTTAGCTACTCGCAAGTAGCAAGTTTTGCAAAAGCTAGTAGAAACATTTTCAGGCTAAAGCCAATGAACTTCTTTTTGTATTCTTGAAAAGTAGCTTCAAAGATGACCTACCACACTATAGCTTCTTGAAATAAAATAAATCATAGCTGCTCTACCAATGAAAAGGCATTTGAAATTTTTTGTCTATTTAAAATACATAATTATTAGCAACAGATTAGATTGAGTTGCATCTAGGTCAAAATGTTAAATATAGACATAATTATTTGCTCAAGAAGTGCTTGGAGTGACATTTGTTCCCCATTTTTGTGGAAAAAGAGGCTGATGATCTGACTCCATATCTTTCCAGGCAAAGCAGCCTAGAACTAGACTTCTATGAATGTGCAGCAATAATAAAAAATAGGCAGAATGTCTAAATTTGTGGGATGATTTCTCAGAAGCAGTTCTATCTTATTCTATCCAAAGACAGGCAGTTCTATCTGATACTTAAACTTCACAGAAGCAGGAAAAGTAGGAGTGCTCTATTTGAAAAAAACACCTATATTAAGGAAATTCTTCTTAAATGTTATGACTTACAGCAAAAATGCGTTTTGATAGATGCAGTTCTGTGTTATGTAGTTAACAATAGCAAATAGAACAACAACAAAAAAAAAACCTGTTACTTCTGGAAAACAAATAAAATATTTACCTTTTAATTTCCTCCTGACTTCCCATTGACTGTGAGAGAGATGACATTCCTTTTTTGGCTTCATTTTGACACTTCTTTAGGCTCTGGTCATCACCTTTGGTGCCACTGAGTAGTGCTTATTTTTCATGCCAACACAGACAGAGGACTGATTTGTATTGCAGGTAATAAATGGTAATTATCTGCATCTTTTTTTCTCTGATGTGAATCACTCTCTCTGAATTCAGGGAACTAAATCTTTGTACACTTTGATGACAGGAGATTAGAGAGTATAACCAGTCTTTGGTTATACTCACTAGGGCAAAGACTTAGAGGTCATCCATTCAATTTTGTGTAATTAATGTCAGTTTAGTGATGAAGATGGAGGAGGATGGTGTACACTTAATCAAGCAGATAAGCAATATGAAGCTTTTGCATTAGAGATTTAATGGAACAATAGACACAGAACTGAAAAATGAACAGTGGACCAATCATAGCTCTTCTTTGACTGCTCAGGCTGTACTTTACTCGGAACGGTCAGGATGAACCCTAGATGCTTTATTCTCTTTCCTCTGTCCTTTTTCTAAAGCCATTATAAAGAAAAGGAAGTGAATTGGAAGCCAAGAACAACTTTAAGAGATGTAATTAAATTTCACTTTTTTCCTCTGGGGAGTCAGTGGCAAAAGGTGCTAGACTGGAATGGACTTCAGTCTGATGTTACCAGATACACTGTTGACAAGGTGGTATAAACCTTCTCTTGCTCAACTACAACATGGTGTCACAAATATATACATATATGTGACACCATATATATGTAGTTCATATACTTAGAATATATAACCTTCATTACACTTATCTTCAAAATACCTCTACAGTACAGTGAAATACCACAGTATTTCCTTAGTATTTAAAGGAATAAATGAAAACTGGAAGGATTCAGACCTAGCCATCTGTCAATGAGTAGAATCTCCCAAATCCTTCCTAGACTGTAGAGCACTTCTAACCACTGTGGTGCTTCCAGCATGTAAAATTCTTCATTTCCTTATGTGTCTTATATGTGAAAGAGCCGCACAGGGAAGACTGCCTCTACTGCACTGAGAGATGCAGAACAGATGACACATCTAAACCCACTCAGACTGTCCATGTCTTCTTTATAATGCATCCCAGTGAGATTTTTCTGGCCATACTTTACATGCATTATCATGCTCTGCAGAAAACACAGCAAGCATAGCAGCTTGCCAGAATAAAAGAAGCTGTTAGACTTCTTGTATTACAGCAGTTCAACAGGTCCAAGGATTGCCTCTACAGTTTACAGAAAAAAGTGTTGACCAAAGTAGCAGGAAACATGAGCCTGAGCCCAGGGTAGTAGGTAGGAATGCCAACAAGACCAGTATGTTACCATCTGCTTCCAGACAGAGGTCAATGAGCTATTAAAGGAGACGGCAGGAAGCAGAAACACCTCCTTTTTTTTCTACATATTAGCAGAAAATAGTGACCTACTCTGTTACTGAAGTATATGACACAGTTATTCAACTCTAATTAAGATTCTGATGTAAGATACGCAACCTCAGCCCAGCATTAGATTACTAAACTGTCAAGGAGACGTTAGACACATTCTCTTCTTCATCTTATGGAATAGCACGGATGGCATCCCTGTCCACGTGCTGGCTATTGAAAATGCTACCACAACAAGCGTAGTACAGCACACGGCACGGTCCTCACCTCGGCATTGCGGATCTCCCATCACACAGGTTCCAAGACACAAGGCAGCCCGCAGATCCAGCCTGAAGGTCACAGAGGAAGTCATAGCATAGCAGTAAAGAGAAATCAGGGCTCTTGAGTTTTGGGCTGTGTCCTACTTGCTGCACTGTTCTTTATCTATGAGAAAGCAGCAATGGTGAACAGCAATGAGTTTCTCTGAACTTAACTGTACCCTGAAGAATATTATGTTTTCCAGTTCATATAGATTAGTCCACTAATATGCTGGTGATAATTCTTAATTGGATTCACATATTCAAATATGTGAACCGGAAATATAAAGATCTTTGTCACTCTTCCTATAAACTCATGAAATTTTAAGAGGATACCATCTAATTAAACCTCATAACCAATTTGTCAAGATAAGTAATAATTTTCACTCTTCAGGTAAATGTAGATATATGGTGCATGTCAAACAACTTGAGTACAGTGTTCCCCAGATGCCACATCTGTTTCCCATATAACATTTTCTTCTGTTTCAACATTTGTGCTTACACATTTAGATTACGAATGCCTAAGTTCTGCCAGCAGTGAAGGTCATCTTTGAATGATCTTTATTACCACTGCTTACTCATATTTTATTAATGGCACACAGGATCCAGTCAGGATCTGGCATATGGTGAGCATCTACCAAACACTCTAAACAGAGAAGCAGATAATGGGCTTCATTGAAATGACTATTGGAATGGTAGTGATGGGTTTATGGTTGGTTGGACTTGATGATCTTGAAGATCTTTTCCAACCATAATGAATCTATGATTCTATGACTACGAAAACTGTCAGATGTCTTAACTGCATTATCTCTTTCTAACCTTTTCCAATATTTACTAATCTTCAGTTTTACTTCTGCTAGTAATTGAGCTACAGTGGTGTAAACAACGGAAAACATTAGCATTAGGATGACAAAAGAAAAGTTTGGGTGTCAAGATATGTGCTGTTTTGGATCTCTTATACTCTATTTCTCTTTTCAGTGAAGTTATGTACAAGGGTATTGTCCCATTCACTTCAATGAAACCCCGGATATGACTGAAGGTAAAAGATGAAGAGCCACATTGTAGCTTTTCTAAAAATCAAATAATTGTAAGATAATTCTTAGCAAAATGTCTTACTGTGCCATTTTTATTTGTGAATACAATTTTTCACCTACTGCTACAATGGCTCTGTTTATCGGTGCAGCACTAGTTGTTAAATATCTCTTGTCTGCAACAGCTGTGTTAGGAACTGGAGGGCTTTCAGATTGTGAACTGCGAAACTCTGATAATAAGACAGTAAGTCTGGCCCAGTGACCCAAAACAAAGGAAGCAATGGATGCAAAAGGGTAATGCTGGGAGAAAGAAGGCAAGTTCTGAATTAACCTGGGATGATTATGCGTTCTGACAGAATGAAGTAACTCTTGTTCACTATACTAAAGCTACATGGCAGCAGAATGCAACAAAAACAGATGTAGACTTTGTATGCAGTGGATATTATATTATCTTCTTTCATATATAGGTAGAACTGTTGGAATAAATTCTGTCAATGGTCATTAAAATATAAATACTTAACATATCAGATTTAATATATGCCCTTATTGAAAAGTCCATAAAGATGTAGTATAAAATGTCAAACCTTTCATAAGTTCCATCGCCTTCCATAAGTTGTTTAATTGTGCTTATCTGCAGAATATTTACCTATAATAGGCTACCCTTTTTAAGAATTGTACCATCTATGTAACATCTCTACCAAAAGTTGTGGAAAAGCTCCAAAAGCAAAAGTTGTATTCTTTTTTTTAGTTATTCATTTTCACTTCCCACTACATCTGCTAACTCTTCTAATTCATCCTCTCATAGCTAGAGGGACAAGTGAATCAGAGGAACTGACAGAAGCCAAAACCTGTGTATTGCTGGGTTCCACTAGAAGGGATCTCCTCCTTTTTCCAGAAGGAAACTTGCCTACTTCAGATCACTCTCTCACTTGAGCCTCCTAGGATTGCCTGGCAGTTGAATGAATTTATTTCTTTTATGCAATAGTAGAAGTACTATTACACTGCACAAACAGCACCCAGGTGAGCTCCACTGTTCAACTCTTCCCTGGCCTCTGACCAACTTCACGACTGTGAAATGAGTGCAAACAAGAAAACCATGTAAACACAGTCATAACAGTAGGCCATGGGACCCTTAACACAATTAAAGCAGGCATTCATACTGCCACTGCTCTGTAGAAACTGGTCTTGCCTGAAGCAAGATTTAATCATAACATGGTTTAATATCTACAGATTAATGGCCTTGTCTTATAAATGTATTATAGTCATTTTAGGCAGCATGTGCATTGTCTGAGCAAATACCTTCAGCAGAGAAAACAAATACAATTTTTTCCAATCACTTAGGGAGCTCAAGAGTTTTGAGGAGGAGCTGGTCAAGGTAAATTGGCAACAGGTTTCACTGTAGCAGCGAAGTTTTCAGAATAATATATTCAGCAGTGTTGTCAGTAAAGGAACTCAAGCAAATGTTGAGTATTCACACTGTTTTCACGTTGATATCCAGTAATATCAACATTATGCTATATTTAATAAGTTCTAACCATTCAGAATAATTCTAACATCATGATGGTACTACTCAGTTATCAGCCTCAGCATTAACAACAAAGTCCTAACAGCCATTTACGCAGGTAAGGCTCATGCAAGCAAACTTCAAAGTCATGGCAGTAAAATCCCAGACTTATATACAAGTGTCAGTTACACAATCAATATTGCCCTCCCTAGAGCTCCCTAATACTAAATACAGCCTCTCTGTTTGTACACAAACCATGTGAACGTGTGCACCCTCATGTTCTCAGACTCGGCTTCCTGCCTAATGGCTCCCCCCTGCCGCTGAAGTTCAAATTTAACTGCAAGTCCTAGGGAAACCACAAGCACTCACAGTTCTTGCTATTATCCAGTTTCTGAGGACAGACAAATAAAGCAGTATACTTAAAAAAAAAATCATACAGAAGAATGAGAGCCTGATGCAGTTGCTATTTTTAAATTAAAGTGTTGGAGATTGTAGAAAAGAACATGAAAAATAAATTAATCTTTTGGGATGCATACTGCCTTTAAATTTTCCATTGTCCCTATCACTTTTCTTGTGTTAGATTTTAAAGTAAGGGATTGCTAACCCCAAACAACTAAGGTGGTAATGTTGGGTTTCAATCAGAGAAAAAAGAACTGCACCTTGTAAAATTCTTTTAATCCTCCTCAGGAATTTCTCAAAATTAATTTTTGAACTATCAAAGCCTTTTGGGGTTTTAAATTTGAGATGAGTATCTTAAAGGACCAAAGTTTGCTTTGTTTTTTAGAACTTCATGGTTTGGGTGGCACATTGGAGAAGCATGGAGTTATGCTCTACTTAATATAACTTGTTTCAAATGGTGATTTTTAGAATTATTTTCCCAAATAATTCAAAGAATATTCTAATTGTATAATAAGTTCCTTCTTTTCTAATAATACTTGAAATATAATGTTGCTGTCAATCTGCTCCAGAATGTTTTATGCTAGCAAGACACTCCTGAATCTTGCTGGCTAGCCATGATGGAAAAGGAACCTAGTTTGGTGACGGAAAGGGAGCCCAGAAAATCTGTCACGCAGCTGCAAATTTGGCAATCATCCCATTTTCAGTAAAGTTACTCCAGTTGAAAACTAATGTGGGCCTAGAAAGAGCATGTGTGTGTGTGTCTGTGTTTGAGAAGGGGTCTTTGGTTCAGCAACTATCCTCTGCAGATGCTAGTGCATATTCCTAATATCAATGGAATAGCTGAGCCTTACTTTTCAATAGCAGTGCACTATAGCAAAGTAAAACCTTAAGTTGGACATGCATAAAAGTTTCTTATGTGAATCTACTGGAGGATATCTGAGTGACAGGTGGAGAGAGCAAAATCTATTTATATACAAAACAGGCAGTATTGCTGAATGCTTTCTCCTCATTTCTTCTTCCCTCTCCAATACCCTGCCAACACATCTTATGCTTAATTTGGAAGGCAGGTGAATGAACAGTCTCAAGGTTCATTCAACCATTAATCACTTTTTTTTAGTTGCAAAAATGAGCTTGCAGACATTTCTCCACCGGGATTCTAAAATTTTTCACCAAGTCTTTTACCTTTAGGCACCAAATGCCTATCTGGTTGATGATGAATTCATCCACTGTGAGCTCAGCCAGGTAAAGTCGCTGCCTACCATTCAGGAAAACATAAAGATCAAATCTTCCCAGACCTGTTTGGCATTCAGGATCATCTTCCTGCACCTTTATCCATGAGCAGTTACTGACAAATGCCCTTCAGCCTGTGGACTGAGTCTGTGCTACAGCTGCGAGTGACCACTCTCCAGCTGAGCTGTTGTATCTATACAGTGAAGGAAAGCTACTGCACCGTGATCATAGATTTTAGCAACGCAGTGACTTTCAACATCATATTTAAAATTCTGTCTTTCTAATTTTCTAGGCAAAGTAGGTACAATGAGGCATGTGATGATGGCAAGTGAGCTGTATGATAAAAATTGATGTACTTACATTGTCCAAATAAGGGTCAAGTAAACCAGGAAAATGTAGGTGATTATAGATAACTGTAGATGACATGGTTTAAATCTCTATGACCTCTTAAAATGTGTCTTTCAATATTGTTATATCATTATATCAAATATAGCTGAAATTAGAAAGCTGGTTGCTTTCAATTTACACATTCTTGGAGGTCCTTTCTATCATTAGCCATAACGTCAGTTATGATTAGGTGGGTTTATGTATTTGGTACAAAATGGCTGTCTTTAAGCAAAAGCACTGTAGTATGTCAAATGAAACAAATGTAATACAAATCAGCTGCACTAATTGGAATGACAGTGACATTCTGCACTACACTTAACAGTAAAAATACCTTAAAGACAAGAAGTCTGACATTTGGCTGAGCTCCTCTATTTATACTTGTTTTATTGATTAGAAATGCAGCTCCCACAATCACAAGTCTGGTATTCAAATTATATTAGCAAAGTTACAGCAATCGTAAAATGTCTTCAACCTCTTATGCTGGAAAGCTGATTACAGCTCGACCTTGACAAAGTTGTTCTCCCTTTACCCTGCATAAGAAGGATATTTATTATAACAAAGTTATATAATTATTTTATATTTTTATCCTCTTATTATTTATTTTCTGTTATAACAAAATTAATGACAAAGAAAAAAGAAATCATCAATGATGTAAGAATAAACATATATTTTCTTTGATTCTACTTTGAAATCCACTATTATTTTCTAATTTAAGGTCAAAATTATTGATCTTTTTCCATTTTGGAGCTCAAGCAAGGATTTCTTTTCATTGATTTAAAGCAAAAAAATGGTTGTCACCTGCCTGCAGGAAGAGTCCTACAGAATGCTAACTCTCTTTCAGAGAAAGCAGCTCCGCCAGTTTACACATAGTTATGACCTCCTCAGACACTGGAGACTGTTACTCACCTGCAAACTTCACAGACCAGCTAATCTTTTAGTAAGACAAAACATCAGGTCTTGAAGCTTGCAGTGTAGACGTTTGCTTACTAAAAATTGATCAAAATCAAAAATCATTGCAAAGGCAGGAAATTATCAATTGAAGGAAAGAAGATTTGATAATTATGAACTGGATTAAAATGAGCTGCTTTGGGATGGATGACTTTCTGTTTTGCAAGTAGCAACCATCCCAGAAGAAAAATTTTTGGTGACTCACAAATGCTAGAGAACAGAATCCATAAAAATATCATTTTCAAAGTCAAAGCTCTGGGTATAAAACTGTGGATTTCTCTCTCTGTAACCTTAGACTATGATTCTAGAGATTTTGAAACAAATCTCTAGAACAGATACCTCACTTGTAACACAAACAATTAACTCTCATACGAAATAAACTGTTGCAACCCCTGTGGATTTCAATAGGAATTTTGTGTAGTCAATCTCCCCTAAGACAACTTCCTAAACTTCTAAAACTCAGAGCAAAATTGGACATCCCTAAAAGGATGATATTTAAAATTCAAGTCTCATTCTTTCTGTGCTCTTCTGCTTCCTAGCAATGAAATAGGAAGTTAGTAAAGAATATTTAAAAACAAACTCCATAGACCTAAGGACATAAAAAAACCCTTGCAGCCATAAAGAAGTCTAGAGTACTTAAAATAAAAATGTTTACCATGTTCATTCATTGATGAATAAATTTGTTTAAATATTAGCTAGAGCTTTGCAAAATAGACTTTGTTTTTCAGAAGTTACGTAGAACTTTTCAATTTCATAGAGTTCTGCACTGCCTTAGTTAGGGGTTTATTTGCAGTGCTGATTAAGTAGATTTTTGCATCATAAATGCAAATGGGTACACATTGTTGATGCAAAACACTCTTTGCTTGAATGCAGTTATGTCTGCTGTGATATTGGCCTGTTTCTGCTCAACATATTTTTCTGTGTTACTGAAACTTCACAGTACGTTATGGGCTCAAAACAGACCCACTTGGGAATAAAGAAAACATCCTTAAAATTATGCAAAATATTCATAACAAAATGCAAATACTGTTTACAATTTTTAGCATCTCACTACAGCAGCTCACATTCTAAATCTTAACCAGCTAGAAGCTATATAGAAAACTGTTTTATCAGCCTTTATGCTGGATAAATTGTCTTGTACAACAAATGTTGCTGATCTTCAGCAAAACGGCCAGGACCAGCATGCAATATAAAAATGCTAGTTTTCAAGTAAAATGGTGGTTTTAGATACATTTAACACTGACATATTCAGAATGAGATTTAGTGTTTACTGGGGAGATTTTCTGAGGAGGGCATTCAGCCAGAAGGGGACTGCTTCATCTAGCGAGAAAGAAAAACCTATAATTAAAGGATTGGATTTTAATTCCACCGCTGTTAAGTTGCACCAAAAATGAATTGGGCCAAAATAATTATTCACATCACACACTACTGGGCAGTTATAGATTGATGTATTTACATTTTGCCAGAGTAAGCAATGCTTTATGAGAAATATAAACCTCTGCTTCTTTAACCCTTGAATCATTGATGAATACAGTTTTTGTCATCACTGTTCACTGACAGTGAATATATTTCCTCTCATCCCTCAGTTCACATTTATCTCAACGTCTCCTTTCCGCTAAGTGAAAAGTCCTCCCCATTAAGAACTCAATGTTGTGTTTCCTAGGATGCTCTCTCAGCAAACTAATGGCATTTCTGTCAGTCTCCTTTGTGGTCAGCTTTGCTTCCTCAGGAGATGTCTACCAAACTACAACTATTTCCCTCTGCTGTACCTATATTCACCCCACTGCTTTGCAGAATGATTCTGGAAAGTTAGAAAAGGAAATGAAATATATTGCAAAAGACTAGAACCTTCAGACCAAGAAACACAGCAGTACAAACGGGACTCTGGCATCCTAGGATTCTTGTTTAGTTCTGTTTCTCAGGTAATACCCCCTCAGAGTTTTCTTATTCATAGAGACAAATGAAGTACATTTTAAAAGTTTATCTGTATGAGGGAAGATATTTTCAGGAAAGACTTGCGGACCTAGTCTCACTGTTCCACCTTGATGAATTTTTTTCTTTAGACAATTCCTTCAAGCATTCTGTTGGATATTCCTTGCCTCACTAGTCTGAAAACATGCAGTAACGTGTAGTGCAGATGTTGACCAACAACTTCACAGTATCTCAGTGGCAACTGAAATTACTTGCAGGGAGACAAGCTCACTGAAGGAGCACTGGATTAAATACTCTAGAGTGCAAGACTTTGGAATTCACTCCATGGGTGAAAAACAAATTAAAAGTTCAACAGATAACTTCTCATTCTTATTAGACAAACAGATCTTCCCTGATCTTTCACATCTGTTCCTTTTTAGGCTCAGTCCTGTCCTTCTGTGGAGGCATCCAATCTACATTACAATCAAAATGAAGGCAAGAATTATTGTATGAGAACTGAACAGAACAAAATTCATAAACTATGTCTTCACCAGGAGAGAGTGCTTTATTAACACAGGAATACTAGTAGAGTCTGTAAGGAAAATAAACTCACACTGACAAATCTAAGGTTTACACCATTTGATTGCTTAACAAGTTTTGCTGGCACAGCAAAATTTACATTAAAAGCTTCTCCTGCTTAACTACATCAGTAGGGAACGATGTCTCTTACCTGCCTTAATCAATGATCTCCTTCCCACGCAGTAGTTGACAGGCACAAGGCAGACCTCTCCTCATTGCCAATACAGTGTTCATCAGCGTGGCTCAAACTGAAAACCGCTAATGGGGAAATGAGTAAACAGCAACAAAACTCTGTTTAGGTGAATAATCCCAGGAGACAGCCGGACCTAAAACTAATCCTGACATAACTCTTCAATCAGCTACTTGAATCCAAGGCACAAATTAGGTTTTAGTTTGACTCAAAGCCTGAAAATTTTCCAACATTCTGGCCACAGAACACAGCAGATTGTAATAAAAATGCATTTATTGAACACTAAGTTCTTTCTTTATTTTATTTTAGTGTTATACATTTTACTTCACAAGAAACTTCACTTCCCATTAGTGCCTATACAGTTTACAGATAAACAGCTGAAAGTCTCAATCACTTGCTGGACAACCAAGGGCAACAACACATCAAGAGCTCTTCTACCTACTCCGCGAGTTCTTTATCGAATGTGGGAATGCAGACCACTCAAGATTGCACAGGACAACGCGCAGAGGGACCTTGGGGCAAACACAAGAACAAAATGAATGGGAAAAGACAACACTTCCCTGGTGCAGTCCACTGAAACCCATCAAAGTAAGAAATGTTATTCTTTTCAAATTGTTCCTTTGTTGTGTAAAAGGTACTATACTTCCTATAACTTAGTACTCTTTTAAATGGTTGCTGCTGTAACAGTAAGATTATAGAAATGAAATTATTTAAGAGGAAATGGAAGGGCAGATGCAAAAAGGCCCCCCAAAACACCTGAGATAGTTTTGATAGAACTACTTATCACAACCATGGTTGT